CGTCACTACACACCTTCCATGCATCACTACACACCTTCCATGCGTCACTACACACCGTCCATGCGTCACTACACACTGTTCGAGTGTCACCACACACTGTCCAAGTGTCACTACACACCGTCCATGCGTCACTACAAACCATCCGAGTGTCACTACACACTGTCCGAGTGTCACCACACAATGTCCAAGTGTCACTACACAATGTCCAAGTGTCACTACACACTGTCCAAGTGTCACTACACACTGTCCAAGTGTCACTACACACTGTCCAAGTGTCACTACACACCGTCCCAGTGTCACTACACACCGTCCCAGTGTCACTACACACCGTCTGAATGTCACCACACACTGTCCGAATGTCACCACACACTGTCCGAGTCACCACACACTGTCCGAGTGTCACTACACACCGTCCAAGTGTCACTACACACCGCTCTTGTGTCACTACACACCGTCCAAGTGTCACTGCACACCGTCCAAGTGTCACTGCACACCGTTCAAGTGTCACTGCACATCGTCCAAGTGTCACTACACATCATCCAAATGTCACTACACATCATCAATGTGTCACTACACACCGTCCAAGTGTCACTACACACAGTCCAAGTGTCACTACACACAGTCCAAGTGTCACTACACACAGTCCATGTGTCACTACACACCGTCCAAGTGTCACCACACACCGTCCAAGTGTCACCACACACCGTTCCAGTGTCACCACACACTGTTCCAGTGTCACCACACACCGTCCCAGTGTCACCACACCGTCCAAGTGTCACCACACACCATCCAAGTGTCACCACACACCATCCATGTGTCACTACACACCATCCAAGTGTCACTATACACCATCCATGTGTCACTACACACCATCATTGTTGTTGCACACCTTATCAGGTAACAGTTTCTCTATGACTGCTCTATACCAAGATCTATCTTCATCAAATAAGCCCCAACATAAACTGCCTTCTTCCAAATCTTTTGGGTCAAAGTCAATTTCACCAAGAACTATTTCTTTTCTACAAAACAAATTCAAAACACATAAGTTGTATCACCCGGATTGTTGAAAGGTGACATTTTACAACAACTAAAGATGTGGAATAAGTAATCATGTA